ACACACACACACACACACACACACACACACACACACACACACACACACACACACACACACACAATTCCCATATTTATTCAGAGTCACTGAAAATGTTGGCAAATTCAAACTAACTTGTCTTTCTTCAACTGTGCATTTAGATAAACGACTGTTAGGCATCCTGACAATATGTCAGGCTCAGATGCACGTTTTATGGTATAGTATAGTATAGTAGAGAGTGCATCACACACAAAAGTACATCACCATCACATGCCATTAATTGCAGTAATTGCAAAGTGGCAAATATTAATTGATGACCATTTWTCTGATGATTAATTGCACACCGTACAATCTTGCCCAACCCTATGTGTGAGAATACCCACTGACACTACTGTAGCAGAGCGGTTAGGAGAGTCGCTCTGTAACCGGTGCTGGTTTGATGCCCCGCTCCCTCCATCTCAATCRTTGTGTCCTTGGGCAAGACACTTCACCTGCCATGCCTGCTGGTGGTGGTCAGAGGGTCCAGTGACATCTGTGCATGGCAGCGGTAGCTACAATGTAGCTTACCACCATCAGTGTGTGAATGTCTGTAGTGTGATGAACTTTGGAATCCATAGAAACTTGATACAGCACTTTACAAGTTCAGGCCCTTTACCATTTACCATCTGTCCACTGTCCACAAAAAAGACAAATTAAAGGTCTAGCATTTCTGAATAAATCTTTTTCATAAAGCTAGAATTTTTTATCAAGATCATAATTAAAAAACATACCAGKAGTTATGGCTATCTTGGTCAAACCTTGATAATAACATTTTGCCCTATATTTGGATTAAGATATTAAGATGTCAATGTGCCTCTCAACTACTAGCACTAAATTTTAGACTCAGTTCTATAAAAGTAACTGAATTGAACCATTTTATTTTTTTCTAATGTTGATTAGCTGCGGTGGCCATCATGAATTGGGTGGACTTCAAAGTTTAGTTGTAGATGTACCTCTGATTTGTTCAGTGGTTTATGGTTTATTTATAGACAGGGTTCATCGTAAATAGTTGTCAAACATTTTTAAATTAAGATGTCGAATCTGTCAGCACTTAGAATATTTGCTGGGGATCAATCTCAGCTACTACCACTTCAARTTTTAGGTCAGCATCTGTAAAACTGAACTATAGCTATTTTTGTGTTGCTGGTTGTGGCAGCCATATTGACTCAGGTGAGTCCTATTACATCCAGTGATTGCTATTACAAGTTTCATTTGTTCAGAGATTTAAGAGATATTTTGGTGCTGGATGATACAGCATGATGGATCAGTGGTTAGACCTGTTGCCTCACAGCAAGAAAGTCCAGGGTTCAATCTCTGGTTTGGAACTGAGGTCATTGTTTGGAGTTTGCATGTTTCCCTCATGTTTGTGTGTTTTTTCTGGGTACTCTGGTACCCTCCCACAGTCCAAAACATTTGTGTTACGCTGCCTTCAGGCTTCCTTTGCAAATGAGATCTGTGATCTCAAAAGGATTTGCCTGGTTAAATTAAACAAATAATTATTTCATTTTCCCACCCACTTCTCTTACTAATTGTTTCAAGAAGCTAATATTTATAAAACAGCTTTGTAAAAACACTAGAGCACATTGCTTAACAGTAGGGACTCTATGTGTAGACTGAACAAAATACTGAAATTAAAATGTAAAGACCATTTTTGAGAAAGTAGGTGAAAAAATACATCAATTTTATTAGGGTCTCACATTGAAATTGGGTCCACGACTCAATCAAAAGTGTGGAAATAAAAGTTGTGCAACAGTCTCATAGTGCACACCCCATTCTTGTATCCTCTGCCCAACATTCTTTATTCTTTTGTTCCACATCTGCTGCCATGTGAAGCTAGCTTTGTTGTGCTTGGTCAGAGTTCCAGGTTGAAAGGCTCTCGAAGAGGGGGACATGGTGCTGTACCTCCCCTGCCAGCGGTGCTGTTTGGTTGGGTATGGCAGACAGCTGTTGGCCCAGAGCCTGGACAGCGACTGAGTCGACACTAGATGCTCTGACCGGACATCTTTGAAATGACTCAGCTGTGATGTACTGCGCTGCTTTTCATTTGATTTATGCTGATTTAGGAAAGACCACCTCATAGGTGCTTTATGAGTTCATGTGTGTACTGAGTTGTAAAAATTAGAACAAACATTTAGAGCGTAGAAATCTTGTTTAGGGYGTTTTTGTGTGTGAGCACCCTGAGGCTCTTTGATTTGTTGGCTTTCATGGAGACATAGTTTGTTGTACAACATCCAGAGAATAGCTGCTGTTCAAAAGTTACTTTTCTTCTCCTTTTTTTGTGAATTCATGAATAACTGAAAGCATCACCTCATATTCCCCAGAACTCCTGTCATGTTTTCCACTTTGTTTTGGTTGTGTTGTTATTTAAAGCTGAACACATGATAAATAATTAAGACTTGACAGCAGGCCTTTGGTTTTTCCTAGTCCTGGTGAGTTTTTCAGATGGGTTTAGTGACACAACTTAACTTTCCTTTGTGGGTGTTTCTTTTGGGATATTGTTGTTAAGGATAACATGTTTTTACAGTGAAGCACGTGTTTGAGCATGCTGAAGTTTTCAAGACTCAAAAATACATGAACATGTTTCTAAAACCTTGTTTTGTTAGAAGTTAAGACAAAAGAGAATGTGTAGTAGTTTGTTTCTACATATTTCTTTCTTTGCTTTCCCTCTCCCTCAACTTTAACTAGGTTTAGTGTCATGYAACTACAAAGTTGCCAAGTTAAATCATGGTAATGGCTCTAGAAGTCATGAGAACTCCCAAGTGCAGCATTTTGAGTCAGACCTTGGCACATGCACACATTTGAGTGGAGGYTCAAAAATTAATCTTGTGGTGTGTTCTTGTTTTATAAGGTGCTCCATATTCATTCTGTTGTGTGTCCTATTTTAGATTTGTGCTCAAAACTCTTCTTTTAGTTCAAATTGATGAAGCAGCATCTAAAAAAGGTTGAAGTTATTCACAAAGCAGTTTTTAGTCTTGTGTGTTTATTCTATTCAAGATCTGGGATTTAATCACTTCTTCTGTATTTTCGTCTGTTTCCAGGTTCAGCTTTCATATGAGCTCTTCCTCAGCTGGAGCTCTGCATGGGCTCGTCTCCAGAAACACGGGATTTTGCGTCAGGCCTCCAGCATCCAGGACCCCCCTGCTGGTGCTGCTCCATCCTCCCCAGTGCGCAGCAGTGCTGGCACCGCCCTCCCTGACACCAGCACCTGTAGCCCCTCTGCAGACTTTGGATCACCCACAGAGGTTTGTTATTTGTTTCGTTGAATCAGTGTTCTTAGAAACAGGAATTCCTGCATGTTGTTGCATGTGTTTGCCTCTAACAGGACTTAATTTACTCTTAAATTAAAGTGATCAATTATCTTTTTTTTATTCCCTCCTATGTGTACTCAATATTAAATCTTCCTTCACAGACTATACAGCACACCCTACCAGKGCYTGAAATTCGCTGCGGGWATTGTGGGTATTGCGGTTTTTGCGCATTRTTTGATTGATTCCTGCAAATTTAGTTTYCATAATGCGTGAAATTCCCTCATACAATATTACAGTGAAGTTAAAATGGACGTTTACATCGGACTTAAGACAAAGACGGACACTTCCACCACAGACTTGGCGCACACTTTTTTTCTTCTTCACTTCCTTATGACTGTTTTGCTAACAATACAGCAGTTGTTGGATTTAATGATTCGGGATTTGAGACGGAAACCTAAACATGGATCGCTGGCTAAAACGTAATTCTAATGTTACATCAACTGAAGATGAACCTGCTCCCAAAAAAACATCACAAGTTAGAACCGAAGCTGGAAGCGTTGCTGATACCAATGATGTCGCCGGGACTGACCCAAACCCTCTGGCAGGGGAGTAACTTTGTGCTGAAAGTTGGTGGGGACGCACCGTTGGGAACGGGGTCTGACGCACCCACAGTTGTGCGACCAGGTTTTTCTGTTGTTGCTAAGAATAAGGCCAAAACATAAATGAGGTGACTGAGATTATGTTCACCTTCATTCAACCATGTACTGTATCAGTCCTTTAAACTCACAAACAGCCATAGTTTCATACAGAGACACACAGGTGGAGCTCTACAGGTGTGTTGGTTTATCATCTCACATAAGAAGTCATAATGTGTGTAAACTAAGGACACACTGGAGGGGGGTCTGGGGGTCCTCCCCCAGAAAATTTTGAATAAATTAGAAGCTATTTCTTGATTTCTAGTGTATTTTAACAGGTTGTTAAAGAAGCTTTTACCTACATAAATAAACACCTGATTTAATGACTGGAGACATATTCTTCATTAAAGTAGTTGCATCGTCCTGTTTTTAAACTTCGTTATTGCTCAGATTAATGTGACAAATTATCTGGAACTGATTAGAAAGCTAATGATGGATGGATTGACAGATTTTATGGACCTTTATTTAATTTCTACCAATTTCTAGAAATAAAAGTTAAATTTAAATAAGCCTATCACTTTAATACTGGTCAAAATAAAATAAAATGTTAAGCATGCTGTAGATTGTCTTTAGATCAGTAATTTGTTTCATTATATTATTAAGTTCACACAACTGACTAGAATATTTTAGATTTCCTTCACACCTGCCCATCACCTTCATTTCTTACCTGAGACACTCTGTCCTACCTGCTGCCTCTGTCTCTCTGTAGCTCCTACATCAACAGACATGAAAATGGATTAAATTATATGTTTTTTACTGCCACCTGAATTTAATCAGCTTTAAAAGTCAAGAAAATAATGTGTAAATTATGAAGCTAGTAGATTAAATTAGAAAAATAATCAGTGACTTTATGAATGTAAATTATAACAGGGAATCAATAAATATCACCAGAGTGGTCTGGAACTCAATCTTAGCATTAAAATACAGATTAACTCAGGCATAATCAATTCTGGTCCTCGAGGTCCGCAGCCTTGCACATTTTACTTGTTTCTCTTCTCCAACACACCTGATTTGAATGAATGGATGATTTTCAGGCTTCTGCAAAACTTGGAAGAGGTAATTCACTGACTGAATCAGGGGTGTTAGAGAAGGGAATAAAGTAAAACATGCAGGGCTGCGGACCTCGAGGACCGAAATAGATTATGCCTGGATTAACAGATTTAAGAATAACTCTAATAAATATCAGCACTAAAGATTAAGTGATTGCTAACATTAGCTGATGGGTGACTAGCAGCAAGCTAACTTTTCATAAGAAAAATACTTCTCCTGTGGGGAGATTTTGACTTATAAAGTTTTTCCGAAAGCCGGATGTTACCTACTCCAAGTGTCTCTGACCACCATGTTGTTTACAGCAGGCAGGGAGCCACAGTGGTTTCATCTGATGGTCAAGATGCTGACAAAGCCAAAAATCTACTAATAGCTGTCAGACGGTTGAACTTTGTGGCCCCTCTGTTACATTATGAAGGATGTGCTGATGCACGTAGTTCTTCTCTCAAAACATTTTCAAAGAGAAGATCTGGACTTCTCCACAGTCCAACCAATGKTTGAAAGTACCAAAGAGGCCCTAAGAKAAATAATATTTCACCCTGAACGTGRATTCAGCACCCAAAACAGGATAAAAACAAGATTCAGAAATTCACTGAATAACACAAATATCACCAATCCGATGCTGATTTCAGAGCTTGGCCCTCCCCAAGAGCAGTTTGATTTTAACAGAGCTCTTATCAAATGGAATGAGATGAAGCAGAGGACACAGGACCAAACAGAGCGTAAAAGAATGAGCCACCAAAAAGAATTATTACAATGATGCAGCTGAAAGAGCTAAAATATTACATCAATGTACATAGTTGATATCATTTTTCATGCCAAGCCACCAGAAACTGTTTATTTGAGAAGCTGGATTTAAATAAAATGCAACAGTTACAGATGAAGAGACAAACATYGSGGATATAAGAGAGGATGGAGACCAGACAGAAGAAAGAAGCGCAAAAAGTATTAATGATGCAGTCGAGATATAGTTAAAAAAACAACAAATTACAGCAGTGTAAATAGTTTAGATTGTTGCCAAGTCAGCAGAGACAGAGGTCATGGGAGCAGTTTTAAGATTTTTTTCCCCAAAAAAGTGGTTGAGCCCAAGAAAGGATAGAACATGGGGACAAAGAAGAGAAGAGAGAGCCATTGATGCAGCTGACCACTAGGGACGAAAATTCAAAGGGACAGTAATAAATTCATCAATGTGAGGTAAGAATATGTCAATGTTAGCCTCCATTTATCTCACAAGTAGTAGAATTTTTCCCCCCAGAAGGTTTTCCATGATTAAAAATATTTTCTTCCTTACGCAGTGTTAAGTGAGGAAAGAGATCAAGCAGAGGAGATGTAACATGGAAAGGGCAAGAGAGAGCAGCTAATAAAACAACTAGTAGGGCAGAAGGAGACATGAAAGCGGCATATATACGTTAGTTATCCTGGTAAGTAATAATCGCCCCCACTCTGAAATATGTAAGGGGGGATCCCCACCCCCCCAGTTCAAAAGTGAATTTCAGGCACTGCCCTACAGTCCCTTCTTTTTTATTACCATTCATTGTATTTTCTTAGCTTTCTGCCTTTGCTGTGATGCAGCGTTTCACTAAGAGACCTAAAAACCTGACCCTGCCAGCATCTGTCTTTTTTTTTCAGCAGATACTATGAGTCATGCAGTAACGCAGGATATTTAAGCCTTAGTTGTGTACACAATTCCTGGGCTGATTTATGATTGTAAGTGCAAACATTGTTTTATTGTTATGAGTAGTTGAGTCAGTGCTAACAAATGTGATCTGTCTCACTAAATTGGTTTTGTTTAGAGATAATTTTCAAAGCTGGAAAAATCTCATCAGTGTTTGTGTTTTTTACATAATTCACTCAGCCGGAGCAGATACTCTGATAGGATGTGAGCTCTGTTTGATTCGTTCAAGCAGAGGCTTGATTGAGTATAAACTTCTCTCTTAATTTTGTAAAACTATAACCTGTATTTATGTTTTCCACTTAGAATGTAGTGGTGTGGGAAGCCAATTAAAAAAAGAGTCACATTTTGTTTGTCAAGGGTGCAGCAGCTAATGGTATTTTCCTTTTTTATGCCCGGGAGGTGCTTATCCTGAGCTAAGTTTGAACAGCAGAAGGTGTTTTTACACCCGTGCCTTCAGTTCTGGCGAATAAGAGAACTTACATACCTACTTTATTATTTGACAAAGTTTATATGTTCATGTCTAAGAGAGGAAGACAGGATGTAAAACATTCATTTAGACAAAATGTGTTAAACTCAAGGCCCCTGGACCAAATGTGGCCCACCACCGCATTTTATATGGCCTGTAGAGCTCAAGAAGTGTATTAATGTCTTTAAAATAAGCATACACTGGTTTAAAGTCAGCATTGACCATAAACTACATCTCCCATAATGCATGTTGATTATTTCACCTGCAAAATAATGGCATCCCACCACTATGTAGAGGTGCGCAGGGTTTCAAAAGTAGCCAGCAAGTGTGCAAATTTGCTGTGTAAATTCTCCATTTTGCTGCATTTTTGCCAGCTGCTTTTGCTACCGCCCAGTTGGGAAGTGGGAGTTTCCCACTTACAAGTCATAAATTTAAACTAGAATGCCCCTTCAGTGGGATTTCCCTGTTAAAAAGTGAGAAAGTTTCATCAATTTTGTTCTGTGTTGCGTCTTGATGTTGTGTGTGAATGACAATAAATGATTCTGATTCTGAAAGTTCAGAATTCAAGACAGCAGCTACTCACCACAACTCAACAGTGAGTAAAACACTTACTCTTACTTTACTGTATTATTTTTTCACATTTAGTCAGTCGTACACGCAGAACTTTACAGTGTTCATAAGAGGACGTGTTGAAGTGCTGTTTCTATGTAGAAAATACCATGTAGAGCTCATTTATTTTTGTTAGCAGTGCTCAGTTGTAGCAACAAGACAAGGAACGTGACATTTCCTGTTTAGTTGAGGTTAAACACAACATTGAATTTAATTACAAATGGCCCTTGAGGGCCACCATAATGCTCATGTGGCCCTCAGTGAAAATAGGTTGGACAGCCCTGAGACCACTGGTATGTGGCCAATGGTTAGGCATTAGCAGCAAGCTCAGATTAAACATTTTTGACTATTCTCCACACGTACACACACGCACTCCAAGAACATAATCAGAATCAGCTCTATTAGCCAAGTGTGTTGACATAGTGTTTGTTTCTGGCTGTTGGTGTCTGTCTAAAATACATACAGTACAATATAGAGTGGCATAAGCATATATAAAATAGAA